TTTCTTCCTAACGTTCTCAAGAACCAAGGCTTTCTTTCCTCTTTCTTTTGACAGAACACACTGGCTTGGTATTCAAGGGTAAAAAGCTATTCTCTGTTTCCCGCTCCTTCTCTTTCTTTACCTCCTATTCAGAGACTCAGCTCGCAAAGAAAAGTAATTTCACTCTCTCTGTCCCTGAGAGAATCAACACAGTGAAGTTGCATTGAATTTCTACTGCAACATTTTTTTTCTTGGCTCTATTTCAGACCTATAACCTGGGGGTAAACATGCAATTAGAATAACAGCAGCCTGCTCTTTCCTCCACTCTCCTCTCTTTCAGCCGTTAGCACAAGCAATGTACAACATGGTGACTTGGTTCTCCTAATTGCTTTTGCTTTTAATTGGTATAGAAAAGCTGTTAATATTCAACCAGCAACCAAACATATTTTCTCACCTGTTTTTTATAGTATTGTTTTTCTCCACTAATATTGTGCACATCCTAATGAGCTTATTTTTGGTGCACAATCCTCATGTTCCTTGCTGCTGGTGGATATTGTAATAGATGATTTCCAATGCAGTTAGCCTGATGCAATTTCCAAATTTCTAACAAATGCAGATCGTAGTTGATGAGGAGGATATTGATCAAAAGATTCATAAAGATTATAAATGCAGTCAGCTGGTCTTAATTTTCTAAATGGCTTCCGTCTATCCTCTTCCTTCCTCTCTTCTTCACATTTTTTTTTAACTTTCAGATGGCTTTCTTTTTCTCCTTCCCCACTGAGGAATGAAAAGAAAATATAGGTCAGCTTTTATGGGAGCAATTTGACACATGACACAAGCCATGCGCATCACTTGCTCAAGTCCTGCTTTGTCTGCTCGCCTTTATTTGTCTATAATGAAAGCCACACAGTTATTCGCACACTTTTATAACGGTTCTATAAGTAGCTGGTGGAGACTTGCCGAGTCACGGGGACCCCCCTAATACTCTGAGAACCCTGTGGTGTCTGTCTGCATGGGGCTGATAGTGTGAGACGCCTGGCTAAACTCCACCAAGCCAATCCCCGCTCCACAGGCCGGCCCAGCTGGCTCAGCTAGGCCTTCACAGATGCAACTCTGTTTCCACTCAGGACAGGAGGGGCTGTGTCTCTATGTCACAAAGGCTACTAAACCATCGGGGTAGACACCTATTTGCCTGGATGTGTGGATGGCTGGAGAGATGAGCCCGAGTACAGACCAGGCTAAACACCTTCAATGGTTATCAAAAGGGCGATTCAGCAGAAGCCACCAGCTGAGTAGAGTCACGTGTTGATTACGTCCTGCAGAGAGGCAACTTTAGCAAGCTCAGTCCATGCTTGGACTTGCAGCTCAGTGGCTAAAAGAAAGTATTGGCCATGTGTGTTTCTGCAAACCATGGCTACATTACATTTGTATGTTTTATACGCATTGTATTAATATTTGTGAAGTGACGTAATATTTAAGTTGATTTTGTAATTGGGAGGTGGAGGGGACGTCTGGATGTCAAGCTGCAGACCACTGTTAGAGACCAACAAACAACAAAATCAGTCATCACTGTGTTTCCAGCAGCTGTTAAGCCCCAAATGTAGGTGTTTTTTTGGGACCTTTGGCTGTGTTTCCTGCTGCTTTTTAGCTCCAAATGTGGGTGTGTTTTTTGGGACCCATGGCTGTGTTTCCTGCTGCTTTTTAGCCCCAAATGTGGGTGTGTTTTTTGGGACCCATGGCTGTGTTTCCAGCAGCTTTTTAGCCCCAAATGTGGGTGTGTTTTTTGGGACCCATGGCTGTGTTTCCTGCTGCTTTTCAGCTCCCAAATGTGGGTGTTTTTTAGGGACCCATGGCTGTGTTTCCAGCAGCTTTTTAGCCCCAAATGTGGGTGTTTTTTAGGGACCCATGGCTGTGTTTCCTGCAGCTTTTTAGCTCCAAATGTGGGTGTTTTTTAGGGACCCATGGCTGTGTTTCCAGCAGCTTTTTAGCCCCAAATGTGGGTGTTTTTTTGGGGACCCATGGCTGTGTTTCCTGCTGCTTTTCAGCTCCCAAATGTGGGTGTTTTTTAGGGACCCATGGCTGTGTTTCCAGCAGCTTTTTAGCCCCAAATGTGGGTGTTTTTTAGGGACCCATGGCTGTGTTTCCTGCAGCTTTTTAGCTCCAAATGTGGGTGTTTTTTAGGGACCCATGGCTGTGTTTCCAGCAGCTTTTTAGCCCCAAATGTGGGTGTTTTTTTGGGACCCATGGCTGTGTTTCCTGCTGCTTTTTAGCCCCAAATGTGGGTGTTTTTTAGGGACCCATGGCTGTGTTTCCTGCTGCTTTTTAGCCCCAAATGTGGGTATTTTTAGGGACCCATGGCTGTGTTTCCAGCAGCTTTTTAGCCCCAGATGTGGGTGTTTTTTAGGTACCCGTGGCGTTGTTTCCTGCTGCTTTTCAGCTCCCAAATGTGGGTGTTTTTTAGGGACCCATGGCTGTGTTTCCTGCCGCTTTTCAGCTCCTGAATGTGGGTGTTTTTAGGGACCTTTGGCTGTGTTTCCTGCTGCTTTTCAGTTCCTAAATGTGGGGGGTTTTTTAGGGACCCATCGCTGTTTATCCTGTAGCTTTTTCACCCCGAAATATGGATGTTTTCTTAGGGAATTGTAGCATTTCCTGCAGCTTTTTAGGCATCAAATGTGGGAATATTTTAACAATTTGTGGCTTTTTTTGTCCAGCAGCTCTTCAGCTCACAAATGTAGGTGTTTTTAAGGGACCCAACGCTTTTTCCTATGGCATTTTAGGCACAAAACATGGATGTCTTTCAACGACCCATTGCTGCATTTCCAGCAGGGATTGGTCCCTCAAAACTGGGTATTTTAAGCCAAAACATGATCTTTTTCTAACCATAATCAAGTTGTTTTTGTGCCTAAACCTAATCTGTATCTGCTATATAATAATGTACAAATACTTTTTGTAATGTGGTTTGCAGAAAATAACAATGCCAGCATATTTTCTGGCGATTGGGTTGGGACTTGACACTATCAGGTGAAGTCATCCTGCTCGTGACACAAATAGTCCATGTGTTGGAAAAAGCCTCTATGGGGGCAGGCGCCTTTGTAGAAAGCGCCAGCGTTTGGCGTGTGATGTATATTTGAAGTCGCAGTGGCAGCGGTGCTGATAGGCGAGTCAGTAGACGTCAGGCTTCTGTCTGTTGGGTTTCATCTCTTCCTGCTCTGCACTGTAAAGCAGATTGTCAGCTGGGGCATTACCATAGGCTGACCTTTGCCGCTGCACTCCCCACTGCACAGCTTTCTGACATTCAGGGGCGCTGTGGGGGAGGCAGGAAGGGGGCGGGTTGACGGCCCGTTGGCTGTTTTTTTGCCTGTAGTGCGTTGATGTGTGTGTTCTTATAACAAATGCACTGACAGTTAATGCTGGTGTCCCCCCTCCCTCCACACACACATCATATCAGTCTCTTGCCACCATTTGATATTTAGTTTCTCTCCACCCCAAACCTGTCTGTTGTCAAAGAGATTGCTGTTATCTTTGTGTGAAATCTTGGCACCCTGATAAATGAGAGAGAGCTGGAAATCTTGCCTGCTGCTGACATCAAGGCGCTATGTACCTAAAATCCTTCCAAGGCCGAGGGAAAAGAATAACATATCAGGCCAATTAAAGTTAATGCATGGTGACACGCTGAATCGAGGGCAGGGATTGCTGCCATATGGCGGTCCAGGCTGTAAATCAGAAAGCAGGGGAAAGGGTGGGGGGGTGGGTGCTGGGCACCAGAAAGGGTGACGCAGCATCAACGGCACAAAACATCCTCAGATCTGTCACAAGACTGCAGCCTCGCCACCCACCAGTCTCCCTTTCTCTACCCTTTTCTCCCTGTCTCCCCCCTGCCGCCCTGCCCCTGCAGCACCCCAAGGTGCAACGCTCTCAGGTACCTGTGTAGAACTGGCAGCTTCATTAAAGCTTGTTTTTTTCTCCTCTCGCTGGGAGGATTTAAATGAGCTGTCATCCTGACCTTTTTGAGCTCCTGCTTTTTAAAGCAAGTTCAGCCCCCCCACCACCACCACCCCAAACCCGCCACTCGTCTTTCCACCTTTCTCTCTCGCTTTGTCACTCTTTCCTCCACTTGTCTCTTCTCCCTGCAGGGGGGAAGACACTTTTAAGCCATCACCCTGCGGCAGACAGGCATGCCAAGGTTGTTTTGTGGGTAATTGCCTCTCTCATAGATGCTGTTTGTCTGCGCACACTTGCCGCCCTCTTCTGATGCCACGCAGCAAAAGGGGGGAGGAGGGCACGGACTCTGTAGACTTAATTTGCTCCCTGACTGTTCTTCAGTGCTGATTAAGCAAGCATCTGTGGTGTTTTGAATACAGCACTAAGCCAAGTGGAGCGTGGCTAACGTTTTCTCCCTCTCTATTACACAGGGTTATTGCACAAAGTGGCAGGCATTTATTGGAGCTGTAGCCCTGTTTATTCGTTTCTTTTCACCACATCCTGAGCCGGCCCCATTGTTTAACGTCCCCAAAATAAAGGCCTCTTTGAGGTGTAGAGGACTTCAGTATCGATCAGAGACTCACTAACTTGTCAGCGCCAGGCTCTCTCGAGTGTGTTCTTTTCTAGTGTACAGGAGTCATTAATTTCCTCCGCAATGGTCTGGTGGAGGCGGAGAGGTAAAGCACAGGTAGCAGGGTCCAACTAGCTGACTAACATGCAGGGCGAAGAGGAGGAGGAGGAGGAGGGACAGAGTCGATTTAAAGCTGCCAGCCCCTCAGGCCCAGTCTGCCCGTTTTACTTCAGCTGTTTGATGTTTAATTGAAGTTGTTATTGGCATCAAATGTCACCTTACCTGATGCTCCAGGTGTGAATCAGTTTCTAATTGAAAGGTAACGATGTCTCCCTCAGCCCTGTGCCTCCGGGGATCGGCCACAGAGTTCTATTAGTCTGGACCCAGCCTCTGTATCACCACGCACCATGTGCTGCCTTGCAGTTATGTCTGACTGCTGACCTCTCCCTCTCTCTTTCTCTCTCTGCAGTGTGAGGAGAAGTGTGTGTCCCATGTTGCATTAGTGTCTGTGTGAAATGCTGGCCTGTCTGCCAGGGCCAGGTGACCTCCCCCTCCAGCTTCTCCCCCACACGCAGATGAACACTGGACATCAGAAATGTAAGTATCTCGGGACACACACGCACACGCACACACACACACACACACACACACACACACACACACACTATTAACAACCACCACCATCCCACACAAAAAACCAAGCTGTTACAATCCGGCTGCCTGCCCCACGTCAGATGCCAACCCTGGCCTGGTTCTCTTCTGCAGCTCTGCGTTAAAACCACAGAAAAGGAATATATTTGTGCACCAGGATCGTAGATCTATCTTCAAGGGAAATTAGGATGAACTGCACCATTAATTTTCCGATGAACAGAAAACCGGCCCCCCTCCCTCCCTCCTTCATCAGCCCTCAAGATCTGTCTGCCACAAGAGTGCGGTCCTGTGTGCGCTTTATCGCCACATTCATGTGTTAGATTTGACCATCTCGGATACTTTGCACCATCAGGGAGAGTCAGTCACTGTCAGACTGGCAGACAGATTGCGGCTGAGTGGTTTTTGCCCTCATGATCTTGTAATGAGAGTGAATTTAAGAAGCAATCTGCTGCCCCGGTTTTTAATGGCAGACTAGTCAGAGCTGGCCCACTTAATTCAATGTGTTTGATTTTCACAACTCAACTGCCAAAAAACTTGGACTCTTTACAGTGTGAGGGGCAGCGACTAACTGGCTCCGACCGGAGAGACTGGAGGAGATTAATATATGACAAACTGATGAATGGAAACAGTAATAAGAAGTCAGTGTTTCCTTTCTGTTTTTTGTTGGATTTTCACCAAAAACACATTTTTAACTTTTAACTTAAGAGTCAGTCCATTATTTTTTAATTTCTTACATCATTCTGTAGCTTCCCTGTAGTTTTCTTTATGTATTCTAATCCAATTATTCAAACTTAGGTGAAAGTACAGGTCCCCTGTGACTTGATGCAGATTTCTGCATGACAGTGTTGCTACATATAAACCCCCTCACCTACCTTAGGTGCCTCTTCATGACTACGCCTCGCCATATCAGCGCTTTAACCTACATCCCTACTTTGTGCGTATAGCTAAATCTGTGTTTCCGCTTGAAAACCTGGACAACAAAACTTGCCCGTTAAAAGTGTAACTGATCATTTATCACTTCTTAGATACATTTAAAACTACATTTCAGCTGTTGCCATCTTGGATTTTTGGAGCCAGAGGTGACCATTTTTCATAGACTGTAGCGACACCTTACAGACAGCCTGTCACTTAAGCAGCGCCACACTTAAATATTTGTAACTTTGGGTCTCAACATATAACTAGGTGATTTCTATAAAAATTCTAACCCAGTACCGTTGTCATGAAAGGGGAAATTAGCTATAGAGACCAAAACATTTTTTGTACCAGGCTGAAAACATGGACATTTTAACATGGGGGTCTATGGGGACTGACTGACTCTGGAGCCAGCCTCAAGTGGCCGTTCAAAGAACTGCAGTTTCTGGCAGTTGAGAGCTGGCTTCATTTTTCATCCTTGGAGGTTGCCGCTTAGTTTAACCCTACATTCACATTTTATCAAAACGGGTATATGTAGAAGTTCCATTTTGCAATGATGCTCTCATTTTGTCTTGTGTCATAAACCCAGCACACCCCTTTCCTTCACAGGGGTGCACTCAGTGTTGCCAACTGAATTTCTCACTAGATTTAGCAACTTTTCAGAGCTTCTAGTGACTTAATTGCCAAAAAGGGTCTAGCAACAAATTTAACGACTTGTTTAGACCATCAGGGAAAAAGCAAGGAATATATTAAAATATATTATATAGTAATCCATTCACATGCATGCTGCTCAGAGTAATTGCATCACAGCTCATCTGCCAGCAGTATGCGGTCTTTCCCTCTCTTCTTGCACCGTGTATATATTCATATATTATTTGAATTTATTTGATAGGTACGATGCAATAGTTCCAACACAGAGTATGAATGTACTGCGCAAAGAGTTTATAGCTATTGTTAATTTTTAACTCTGATCCCTCATTTGGCTTTTTTATATTATAATTAACTTATTTATTTGTCTCTTTTTCTTTTATACATGTTTTTGAATTTGCTTTTAAATTGAATTATACTCAAGTTCAAAGAAACACACTGTTAATAAGATTATATTTTTTTTCTTAAAGTCCAACAAATGCACAACGTCTCTAAATTCAGTGAGTAATCTTGTTAAATAATTATGAGTATGATCTGATAGTCAAGCAGCCCTACTGTATTGGTGTGTTTCTTTGTCCTTCCTACAGCGAGCTTTTTATATATATATATATATATATATATATATATGTACCCAAAAGATCAATCACTTCCCAGATATTGATTACGGCCCATCCAGCTGGTCAGCTTTATTTATGCAATCATATTAAGTCTCCTCTTCCTCCTGCCTGTTTCTCTCAGAGTAAAAACTCAGCTCTAGCTTGACCCATTTCTGCTGCAGTTTTTTTTGGGGTTGTAAAATGCTCCAGCTCATCAAGACTGTAATTTCAGAATCACAGTAATCAGCCAACCCCCAGGAGATCAGCGAGTGTGAGGGAGTCTGCTAAGTGCCAGCGTCTGTTGCCTCACTCAGGCAGGCTTGTGACATAGTGCAGTGATCAGCTTCACCGTTTCTCTGCTCTTCCTTTATGTGACACACTGAGACACATCAGAGCATGAGGCGCAAACTGGAGTTCAATTTGTTTTTCTGCCCAACGCTGTAATCCATTTTGGTGATGGAGCGTGCTTCCCACAGCACTAACGGTCCTAGAAGTGTAATTTCAATCTATTTTTTTCTCTCCTCGTCATTCTCTTATAATGCTTTTCCTTTTCATCCGCTCTTCAAAGTATCATTAACAGACACGGTATTACATCAAAAGCACTGGAGCTGTTTTTCATTTTAGACTAAATCATTTTTTATCAAAGTGACATAGAAGAAAGGGAACTGAAAAATATCTGTACAGTCAAGCCTACCCATTATTCAGACCCTCTAGATCACTTTTTGTCTGCAGTTTGTGTTGTTGTTGTTGTTGTGTTTCGAGTTCCCCGTGCGCTGCTTCACACAGCCAGAACCAGGCCTTAACCCCCAAGTTAACACTCTGCCGTCTCCCCCCTGGCTGTCCACAGGACTCCGTGTCTCTGCAGAGCCCCCTCGTTTACCCAGCATGGAGGATAATTTGACAGCTTAACTCCATGAGAGGTGTGCTTGGCTGCTTTTAGGTGAAATTCATGGACTAGTTGTCACTTGAAATCTTTATTCTGACAAGTTCCCTCAGAAAAAAAGAGGCTCAGATAGAGAGTTTACATAATTAGCTCCAAATTGTGTTCCTGTTTGTCTCTCCTTGAGCACTATCCTTTTCAGTGCACTCTTTCACCATGAGCTCCAGGTCTGGCCGTGCACTGCCCCCTCTCCTGCAGGTGAATCTGTGCACAGGAGAGGAGTCGTTTAAAGTTACGAGCTTGCAGGTTGCTGTCGGTGGCAAGGCCAGAGCAGCTGCTCAATTTATCACCAGGGATTGACTGTTAACAGATGATGGCTGTCTGAAGGGAAGGTTAGGTATGCAAAGAAGCAATGGCGTTTTTTACACAGAGATCCCGTAATAGGGCTGCAACAAGGACCTTTCATCACGCTGGGTTTGCTTTTTATATAGAACTAAGCAACACCGTCATCATGCCACTCCAGTGCTTGATTTTAGATAGCATGCCAGCATTCCAGAAGCAAAAGAGGTGTGACGTGCCTCACGTGTAACACAACAGTGTCGGCCTCTAGTGTGACATATAACATACATATCGCGCGACACGTCTAAGCAATAACACTGGCATAACATGGCAATAACAATCATTCACTGTCCGTGCTATATGGCAGCTGATCTGGTCTTCTGCGTGGAGGGTAAGGAGCTCCCGGGCCTCAATGTGTCCACCAACATTTTCGGTTACTGTTCTTCCTCTTTGAGTTAGCTGCTAACTGCTACAAGCTGCTTTCTAAATCTCCCAGCAGTGGGTCGCATATACAACACGTCGACAGAATGTCACGCCAGTCCTGTTACGCCGGCTTTCCCTTTGAAAACCCAGACCAATATCGAAGAACTAGTGGTGACCAAGGCTGACTGTTGAATTGCCTCATGTCGCCTGTGTCTCCACAAAACTCGGCCAGATAGCACGTATGCTCTGCGTCTGCATGAGAGGAAATAACTCTCCATAGAAGCCGGCAGTGGTAGTCTGAATTCATCGTTCAAAAAAGAAAACCAGAAGAACAACATGACAGATTCAAGATGCTATTTAGCCAGTTAGCACATTAGCAACACAACCCAATGTTGAAAGAACAAATGATATTTACCGTTCACCGGCGAACAATAACACAAACAACTGCGAAGTGTTTCTGCTAAAGAGCTGAATCGCTAGAAAATGATTTAATCTAATATAACAAGTTTGTTTCGATCTCACTTCTTCTTGACTTTAGTTGTTTGTTTGCTTTCCTTACTTATGCTTCCCTTCTCGTGTGCTGAATTGAATTGCCAGTCAGAGAGATTTCTCTCACCGATGGGCTCCACCAGGTTCAATGCCGACAAGGGCCGATTAGTGCCAACGATGCACACCACACCACAAAAACTAGAGCAACAGACGCTCACCGACAGCCTGACATTGACATACAGCCAATAGTGTGTCAGGGCCCTCACACAGACGTCAATGTGGTGCCGTTACTACCTCCGTTGCCATCCTAAAGGTGACAACTCTGTCCCTCCATTCTGTGATCATATCTTTTATACAGAATGTCAAGGCGGAGTAATGCCGCAACATTCCTGAATTGAACAGGCTGTGGAAAAGGGGCTAAAGGGTCAAAAAGAAAACAGCTCATACTAGAGGCAGGATGACTCAAGCACCACAAAGTGGTCGTCAGTCCTCAGTTCTTACAGGCAGAGCAAACAGCAAGTACAGCTGGGCCACTTGGCTGATTTTCACATCTCAATCCCTACCGAGATCAAAAGCAACCATCTTCTTCTCCTGATAATATTTTTCATTTTTTCAAAGGTCTTGCGGTCTTGATCTATCAGCATGGGAGGCTCTGCTCA